GGAGAGAAAGGTGTAGACTGTAGGTCACTGTCAGCACAGGCCTTCATCATGGGAGAGAAGCTGCAGACTGTAGGTCACTGTCAGCACAGACCTTCATGGGAGAGAAGCTGTAGACTGTAGGTCACTGTCAGCGTAGGCCTTCACGGGAAGGAAAGCTGTTCAGATGTGCTCCAGAAAATCACTTAAGGGCCTCTGTTTGAAAGTTTAGGAATCAGAGTTAATATTTGGAGTTAGTTTAAACTATCAGTTGGCCATTCCCCTGACTTAGCGTTGAAAATTTGCTATTTTAGCAGCTGGGAGAAAAATTTCATTAAAAAGTGTTTTTATCTCAACAGTGAAATCATTGATGTATCTTTTTAAAATCTCATTTAAAAAATAAAAGCATATTTCATTTTCAGATTTTAATACTTTAAAATATTTTATTTGCTGATGATTTTGTAAGAATGAAAATATGTATTTAATGTTTATATTTTTATAAATTGTATTTCTATTTACTGTTTTGTAATATGTTTGAAGCTTTTTATGTTTGAATATATTAAGTAGTTAATTTTACAGATTAAAAAGACAAACTCTGAAGACTTCCAAATTAAATACCAGTATACCATATTGTTCCAGTAATGGTAGGAGTTATTCATGATATTATAATGAGTTGAGAATTTCTAAGAATACATGAGATGGTTTTAAAATCTGGTAGAGATCATGGAGAATGAACACAAATAAAGGCCATTTGATTTGGCCCAGAAGGCGGGTGTTGGACTTGAAGGCAGGGTCTCTGCACAATGGGAATGGAAGCCAAGGTTCACTGAAGTCAGTGGGAGTAAGGGGAGGCAGTGGATTTAGGCACTGGCTGGCAAAGCAGAACATGGCCAGAAGGGAAGTAAGTAGTGTGGCAATTAGCAGGAGGGAGCCATAGGTAAGATAAGATGCTTTGAAAGGAGGAAGTGGTGGCAAAGTTGAAGATGCTAGAGAGAAATTTTGTAATGTAGGAGGAAACAAGAAATGTTGAGTTACCAAATGGTAAGTAGTGATGTATATCAAGAAAATAGTGTCTGCAACAGTAGCTGAAAGAAAGACAGTTCCTGGCTTTTTTTTTTCTGTTCTTCGTACATAAAGAAAGCAAAAGGTCATTAAAAAGACAAGAAAGAAAGACCAAAATGTATGTCAGAAGAGACTCTGAAACTTGCTCTTGAATGTCAAGTAGCTAAAGCAAATGGAAGAAATGATGAAATCAAAGAGCTGAACAGAAGATTTTAAAGGGCAACTCAAGAAGACAAAGTAAAGTATTATAATGAAATGTGCAAAGACCTAGAGTTTAGAAAACCAAAAGGGAAGAACATGCTTGGCATTTCTGAAGCTGAAATAACTGAAGAAAAAATTCAAGCTTTAGTTGCAATATTGAAGGATTCTATGGGCAAAATATTGAATGACTCAGGAAGCATCAAAAGAAGATGGAAGGAATACACAGAGTCACTGTACCAAAAAGAATTGGTCGACGTCCAGCCATTTCAGGAGGTAACATATGATCAAGAGCTGATGGTATTGCATTGGGCAGATCTGCTGCAAAACACCTTTTTAAAGTGTTGAAAAACAAAGATGTCACTTTGAGGACTAAGGTACACCTGACCCAAGCCATGGTATTTTCAGTCACCTCACAGCGTATGAAAGCTGGAATAATGAGTGATAAAGAATTGATGCCTTTATATTATGGTGTTGGCAAAGAATATTGTATATACCATGGACTACCAGAAGAACAAACAAATCTGTCTTGGAAGTACAGCCAGAGTGCTCCTTGGAAGTGAGAATAGTGAGACTTCATCTCACATACTTTGGACATGTTGTCAGAAGGGACCAGTCCCTGGAGAAGGACATTATGCTTGATAAGGTGGAGGGTCAGCGAAAAAGAGAAAGACCCTTGATGAGATGGGCTGACACAGTGGCTGCAACAGTAGGCTCAAACATAGTAACAGTAGTGAGGATGGCACAGGACCAGGCAGTGTTTCGTTCTGTTGTATACGGGATCGCTATGAGCCAGAACCTATTCGAAGGCACCTAACAACAATAGTAGCCAGTGCCTTGAAAACATCCTAAGAAGATTTTTTTTCCCACGGCTAGTATTACTGTAAGAATGTATGAAAGAATCATGTTTGCCTTATGTTGGTGTCCTTTTTAAATTTGTCTCCATGTGTGCAGCTGCCTCTTAGTAATCATTCTACGCTTTAGTTCCTGAAGATTTAGACTGGCTGTCAAACTGTTCATTCAGTGCCAGTCATAACCATATGTGTAGCTGAGTGCTTCATTTTGACATACAGTTTTACTCTCCTACTTTCTACCTTAGGTGGTAGCAATACGGCCTGTTAGGAGGATTACACACATCCCAGGTACCTTAGAAGATGAGGATGAGAAGGAAGATAATGATGACATTGTCATGCTAGAAAAAAAAATACAAACATCCAGTATGCCGGAGCAGGCCCACAGAGTCTGTGTCAAAGAAATAAGAAGGTAAATTGTAGTCATTAGTGTTTGCATTTTGTGTATTATTGTTAAAAACTATTGCTCATGGAAAGGATTCTGCTACTTGGAGTCGCAGACTGGAAGCTGAGTCATGTATTTTATCTTCCCTGATTTCTCTCCTTTTCTTAAGCTCAGCGTACCCACAGACCATTCTGTCCATGTCACCTTTCCATGGTCAGCGTTTTCCTTCGTGGCTTTCCTGATTCTCAGGTTATAGCTGTGATCTGTAAAGTGCTTTCTTCATTTCCTCAACCGGGATCTGATTCTTAAAACATTCTTAATACTCCTGAATTAACAACACTTTGACCAAGCTTTTTCTCAATACTGAAGATAAATGATACAGCTCTTCTATCTACGTTGTTACTGTCTTTTCATTGTCTTCCAGAATGGACTACACTTCTTGGTTTAGAAACAACGTTTGTTCACTTGTCATAGTGTTCTTCACATGTCGCTGGCGTTTTCCTCAGGGTATAAACTCTAGAAGGCAGGGACTGTCCATTTCTCTGTGTACAAAATAAAGTATAAGGAAACCTTGATAACAGAATAGGGTGGATAGGTTAGATTGCATTTTCTGCATAATCTCAGCGTTCAGTAGAAAACCATTTTCCTCCTTACAATACTTGTGGCTTTATATTACATTTTCTTGTATCAGTGAATTATAATGAATGTAATTGAATGCTTAATCACTAAAGATTTGACTTCTGAGGTTCACAGTTAAGAGCATTAGTAAATGTGATCCAGCAATCCCACTCCTAGGTATGTACCCTAAAGAAATAAGAGCCGTGACACAAATAGACACATGCACACCCATGTTCATTGCAGCATTATTCACAATAGCGAAAGATGGAAACAACCTAAGTGCCCATCAACAGATGAATGGATTAACAAACTGTGGTACGTACACATAATGGAATACTACACAATGATAACGAATATTGACGAACGCTTGAAACATCTCACAACATGGATGAATTTGGAGGACGTTATGCTGAGTGAAATAAGCCAATCCCAAAAGGACAGATATTGTAAGAGACCACTACTATAAAGTAGCAACAAAAGGTTTACACATAGGAGAAAAGAGAAAACGTTCTGTGATGGTTACCAGGCGTGGGAGGGGGAGGGATTGATAATTACCAATCAGATAGAAGATAGGAGTTATTATTGGTGAAGGGAAGGACGGTACGTAATACGGGGGAAGTGAGTACAACATGACCGAAGTAAGAGAGAGCACTGAGAGAAACACAAGATTAAAGGGCAACTGTGGTAACTACTGTAGCTTAGAGAATCCTGCAGCAATAGTGAATAACAAACAACAGTTTACAAACGGACAGATAGGTAGGTAGATACACCAAGAGGTGTGGGAAGATATAAGGGAACACACCCACCGGCAGATAGAGATTTGGTGATAGCTATTTCTACATACATGACTGCGGGTGTGGCTGATATAGACCATACAAGGGGTATAGTCAGGGAAACCTCTTAGACATAACTAAACTCGTGGGATGAAGTTCCTAGGCTAGAAGACAAAGCATAGACTCGGGGGACATCTGCCTCAGTTGGCACAACAGAGTACATAAAGACAATGTTCTCCATCCTACTTCGGTGAGTAGCATCTGGAGTCTTAAAAGCTTGTGAGCAGCCATCTAAGATACAGCTACTGGTCTCTTCCCATCCAGAATGAGGGAGAGAGAAGGAGACCAAAGACTCAATGGAGCAATTAGTCCAAAGGACTAACGGACCACATGAACTACAGCCTACACAACCTGAGACCAGAAGAACTAGATGGTGCCCAGCGACCACCACCAACTGCTCTGACTGGGATCACAGCAGAGGGCCCCGGACAGAGTGGGAGAAAATGGTAGAACAAAAAATCAAATTCACAAAAAAGACCAGGCTTGCTGGTCAGACAGACTGGAGGAACCCCCGAGACTACGGCCCTGAGACACCCTTCTAACTTGGAAAGGAAGCTATTCCCAAAGACCACCTCCCAGCCAAACAATAGACAGGCACATAAGATAAACAGAAGCACCTGAGAGGAACATACTCCTTAGAACAATCAATTACACGAGATCAAAAGGGCATTACCTGCCCAAAAGCAAAGATGAGAAGGCAGGAATCCGTAGAAAATCAGGACAAAAGAAAATGGGGAAACCAGGGCGAAAATGGGGAGAGTACTGACACGTAGTGGGGAGTAAAAGCAAGTCGTGAAACGCTTCAGGTACAAAGTGTGGAGTGAGAAACTCGTTTGCTCTGTAAGCTTTCACCTAAACCACAATTTGAAAAAGGAGAAATTAAAAGAAATTAGTAAATGTAGTTGAGAGAATTTTCTGGTGACTCTCGCTAGTTAATAAACGTGGAACGTCTGTTACGTGCAGAGACTTGATAAGCACCATGCATGTTGTAGAAGTTGCATTTTTAATTAAATATCTGGTATTAGCGTACTTTTATGAACTGACCTCATCTGTGATTCAAAAAATACATAATTGTTGTGTTATGAAGGATAAGTACTTAAATCTTACCATGACGCGTAAATCAGTGGATCCCTGTGACTTGAAACTCCTGGGTCTTCAAAGGCCAGATACTGGCAAGACCGTATTTCAAAGATAGAATAAGGTATGGAGTTTTTCTCCCCACCTTGCAAGTATCTGTTTTGTTTTGTTTTGTAAGAACATCACAGAACAAAATAAACTTTTTATTAACTAGATTTTTTTTTAACTTTTTCAGATTTCCTTAACCAAATACACATGATACATCTGGCCAAAAAAGGGAGATGTGCTTGGTTTTTGTTACGACAGAATTATATGTTCTTGAACATGTTTTCTGTGTGTTTTTTTCCCCACAGACTCAAAAAAATGCCTCAGTCAATGCCAGAATATGCTCTGACTAGAAATTATTTGGAACTTATGGTGGAGCTTCCTTGGAACAAAAGTACAACTGGTGAGCCAACAAAGTAACACCTGTTTTGTGGTCTAATTGTCACTCAGAAAGCTCCCACGGATCCTTAGTTCAGATTCTTTCCATTGATTGTCCCACTGTTAGATTAGTTCTTGATGTAAATTCATTAGACTAAATGTACATTACGTAGGTCTTGGGATCGTATAGGAAAAGAGGGTGCTACAGAGAGATGCCTTTTGCCTGATTTTAGGGAAGGTAGGACATTTTCCCCCACGTAAGAAGTGATCCATCTTGGGTCCCAGGACACTGCATTTTAATATAAAAGAATACTTACTTATAACCTAAAGAGAACCATCCTTTCTGGTACTGAAAAAAAAATTTTTTTTTTTTTTTTTTTTGGTCTCAAAGGGGGCCCAGAATGAAGTATATTTGTGCTGAATTAACTGTGCTGGGGTAAAATCAAGGTTAAAAACAACCCCCTTTTAATTAATTTTTTGGGATAGGATCATTTAACATTTATTAATGGATATGGCTAGGTGTTAAGATGAAATTAACCTAATCACCTTCCTTTTTTGGGGGGCAACCTTTAGATTTCATCCCTGTTTATAGTTCTTAAGTTCTTGTTTTGGGAAACAGGTACAGTCTTATGTATTTTTATTAATGCTAGTCTGTCTTCATGAATACTTTGTAAATTTTTCTATTAACGCTTGTCTTCCTTAATGAATACTTTGTAAATTTGTATTCACCCCATTCCCTAGATTTTGGTTTGTCTTTCTGTTTGAATGTTTGTGTATAAATTTAAGAGGCTAATTCACATGTATTCTCCCCTTAAATTCTGAGAATCCATAAATGTTCCTTAGGTTACATCAGATTACACTGTTGAACTGTGGAAGGAAGTGCAACAGAGCAGCCCGGTCATTTGTCTTGTTTTCCAGCTTTACTGCAGTATAGTTGACACACAGTAAACTGCAGAGTTGTAAAGTGTGCATTTTGATAGTTTTGACGTATGTACACACCTATAAAACCGTCATAATTAAGATAATATATCCATCACCGAAAGTTTCCTCATGCTCCTTGGTAATCCTTCCCGTCCTACCTTTCCTCCTGGCCCTCCCCATCCCCACGCACTATAGATTAGTTCATATTTTCTAAATTTTTATATGAATGGAATTACTTAGTATGTACTCTTTTTTTCCCCGACTTCTTTCACTTAGCATAGTTAATTTGAGTTCATCCATGTTGCTGCGTGTATCAGTAATGTGTTTCGTATTGCTGGAGTATTATTCTGTTACATGAATATACCATTACTTTTGTTTACCCGTTCACCTGTTGATGGATGTTTGGGTTGTTCACAGTTTTTTGGTTATTACAAATAAAGCTGCTGTGACTTACACTGGTAGATTTATTTCTTAATTTATTCCATGTTTATGTGCCATGACAAAATATCGCCTTCTAGTTTTAAAAGTGTTTTACCAAAATACCAGTGCTGTGAGCTTAAGAAACAAACCGAAGTTGAATTTCTTGGTTTAATTCTTAATTGGTATTTTTCTGAAAACTCCATAATGAGGTGAAGGCAGTGGAGCACATGTTCCCGTTGAATTAGCCCCTTTTTGTCACCTGAACTCAGTTTGAGTTCAGACGTACATCGGGGTTCACTTGGGGTCTTGGGAAGGCCGTTTTGGTGTGGAGAATCTTCTGTGTCTGTCCTTCAGGCGACGTGGTCCTGTTCTGTGAGATTTGAAGAAGACCCTGCTCTGTTAGTTTAGACCGAGGAGGGAAAGTGCATTTAAACTTGACACGTTTAAGTGCTCAGCTTCTGTTTCATCCAGCAGACTTCGATGTTGACGTGTGTTTGCTTGGTATCTGTTTCTGCTATTAATGGAGTAGTGGCAATTTTCAAACCCTGTTATTTTCTCTTTTGACAATAGGGCCAGTGCACAAAGTGAGGAACATCTAGATAACTTGATAACACCAATTGTCTTCTAAATGTGTTTTGAAATTTAGGGATTTTCTTAGTAATATTTTTCTGTTCTCAAGGATTTTTTTTTTTGCTGTGGTGGTAAAATACATATATAACAAAACATTTGCCATTCACACCATTTTTAAGTGTATAATTCAGTGATACTGATTACATTTACCGTGTTGTATAACCATCACCACCCATCTATTTCCAAATGTCTTTCAACACCCAAACAGAAACTTAGCACCCCTTAAGCAGTAACTCCCACTTTTCTTCCCCCTACCACATGGTAACCACTAACTTTTGTCTTTATGTGGTTACCTATTCTAGATGTTTCATGTAAGTGGGGTTATACAGCGTTTGTCTTTTGTGTATTACTTACTTCACTCAGCATGTTTTCAGGGTTCATCAAATTGTAACATGTACCAGAACTTCATTTTTCATTGTGGCTGAATGATATTCCAGTGTATAGATATACCACGTTTTGTTTATCCATTCATCTTTGAGAGACACTTGGGTTTTTTCTACCTTATGGCTATTGTGAATAATACTGCAGTGAGCATTGGTATACAAGTGTCTGTTTGAGTCCTGCTTTCTAGTCTTTAATTATATACCTAGAAGTGGAATTGTTGGGTCATATGGTAACTCTGTGTTTTACTTTTTGAGGAACCGCCACAGTTTTCCACAGTAGCTACACCATTTTACATTTCCACCGGCAGTGGATGAGGGTTCCAATTTCTCCACATCCTTGCCAACTCTTAATATTTTCTGTTTTTCTGATAATAGCCATCTTAGTGGTATGAAGTTGGATCTTATGATGGTTTTGATTTGCATTTCCCTAATGACTAATGACATTGAGCATCTTTTCATGGACTAATTGGCCATTTGAATATCTTCTTTGGAGAAGTGTCTACCAAAGTACTTTGCCCATTTTTTAATTGGGCTGTTTGTATTTTGTTGTTGAGTTATAGGAGTTCTTTATATATTCTGGATATTAAACCCTTATCAGATACATGGTACCAGTTCTGTAAGTTGTCTCTTCACTTTATTAATAAAGTCCTTTGATGCACAAAAGTTCTTAATTTTGATGAAGTCCATTTTGTCTTTCGTTGCTCCTGCTTTTGGTGTCATATCAAAGAATCCTTTGTCAAAAACTAGATATTGAAGCTTTACCCCTATGTTTTCTTCTAAGAATTTTATGCTTTTAGTTCTTACATTTAGGCCATTGATCCATTTTGAGTTAATTTTCCTATGTGGTGTGAGGCATGGGTCTAACTTCATTCTTTTGCATGTGGAGATCCAGTATCCCAGCAGCATTTACTGAAGAGACTTATGTTTTCACCCTTGAAGTACTTAGCAGCCTTATTGAAAATCATTTGACCATAGATATATCAGTTTCTTACTGGACTCTGAATTCTGTTCCATTGCTCTATGTGTCTGTCTTTATACCCATACCTACTGTTTTGATTACTGTAGCTTTATAGTACAGTTTGAAATTGGGAAGTATGAGCCCTCCTACTTTGTTCTGGCTATTCAAGGCCCCTTGAAGTTCCGTATAAATCTTAAGATTGTTTTGGCTGTTCAAGGCCCCTTGAAATGCCATATAAATTTGAGGATTGCTTTTTCCATTTCTGCAATAAGGCTGCTGGAATTTTGACAGGGATTGTGTTGAGCCTGAGGAGCCCTGGTGGCTCAGTGGTTAAAACACCTGGCTGCTAACCAAAAGGTCAGCGGTTCAAACCCACCAGCCACTCTGTGGGATAAGGATGTGGCAGGCAGTCTCCTTCTGTAAAGATTTACAGCCTTGAAAACCCCATGAAGCAGTTCTGTTCTGCACACACGGGGGGACCGTGAGTTGAAACACCCATGAAGCAGCTCTGTTCTGCACACATGGGGTCACCGTGAGTTGAAACCCCCAGGAAGCAGTTCTGCACATATGGCGTCACCATGAGTTGGAAACCCCATGAAGCAGCTCTGTTCTGCACACATGGGTCACCATGAGTTGGAAACCCCATGAAGC